AAATCAAATCACAATCAACCCGACAAACTTAAGTCTTATTCTAACTTAGAAACTATTCCCCTTGGAATTCCGACAAAACAAAATTCAATCTTAACTTAGTTACAAATTCTCTTATAACTATCGATCCTAACCGTCACCTCAATTAATACTCGGAACCTTTTTCCTCCACTCAAGACTTTCCTCTTTTCCTATCGTCAAAATCGAACCTTCAATTTCCTACTAGGATTTCCTATTCGACACCTTGTTCACTGCTACCAGCAGACCAACGCTTTCGGTTCAGGAGCTCACCTCGTCTGTCTTCACTTGAGTTACTGTACTTATAGTCTGAGGTGACGTCACAGTTCTACTGGAGACACTCCCCTCATTTACATATCTACGCGTAACATTCTTGTTTTCTTAGTTATCTGGTAGCTTATTTCTCGACAAATACTTTGTTAACCTTTTACAACATTTCTTTAACAATTATCGGGATGTTTAATTTAAGGTTACACAAGTTCCTAAAAAGGCTATTGGGGTATCCCCCCTTCAGTGCGGACTTACAATTCTGCCGCGTGGGCGTGCACGTGAGTGCGAATTCTAGCTATGGCGCGGTCTTTTTGTCGTCGGTGAGTTGGTTTATCCCTTATCTTCTGGTTTAGACCGTTCTGGGGTGATGGGTAAGGAAACCTTCGTCCTAACTAAATATAAGCCCCAAACAAAAATATAATAAAAGCAAAATAAAAGTAAAATAAAAATAAAGCTCGGACTTAGTTCCTTACATTATGTTCTAATTGATGTTTAAAATTACGTTAAACCCAAGGAAGGCAATTTAAGATGACTGAAAACATTAGTTTGTTTAATTAAAATTTGCTATAAAAGTGAGAAAGATGGTTTGTGATATGATTTGCAATAATTATAAGAATTGTAATTAAGAGTTAAAATAAATAAATTTTGTCTGCATTCTTAAGAAAGGAAGAAAAAGAGATCAAAATGAAAATAAATACACTTGAGGAGAAAAAGCTAAAACTACATTAAAATAATAGTTCTTGTGTTTTGTAAATTGTAATTCATTTTTTATTTTCTAATTATCTGTATTTTTAAAAAAGAGAATTAATACTAAGAAGTTTCTCTGTATTTTGATTGTCCATTTTGTAAAAAAATAAAAAAATTTTACAATAAAGTAGATGCATTTGTTAGAGAAGCTATAGTATAAACTTACTCCTATTCCTCTTTATATACAATCTATTTTTACGTGATTTTGAAATAATGTGGTTTATAAAAGAAAACTAATTCATTTTTTACACGATCAATTTTTTTTACGTAGGAAAAATGCTTTATTTAAAAATTTTTAAATGTAACTTTTTGTTAAAATTATGTTGCTGTTTAAAAAAAGTTACTCTTTTTGCTGAAAGATTGATTTTAAAATTACATGTTTCTAAGTCAAGAGTTCATTTTAAGCACAATACAGTACTATTTGTATATCAACGAATACTGTTTGTTGATTTTATGCTACTTGTATTTACTAGATTTACATATAAGTAATAATGATAAATGATGATAAAATAAAAAACTCATGTTTCGTTTGTAAATTGCTTACTTTTTCATTACATTGAAGTTGTGGATTCTATCAAGCATTTTTCTACAGGATGTATGTACTGTATTTTTTTTTTAATGTGGCAGTCTTTGAAACATATTGACTGTGCAAAAAGAGGTATCAATGAACTCAATGTTTACAGTAAATAAAATGCTTTAAAGTTGGGAAGTGTGAGATATAATGTAACTCAACTCCCAATGCTTGAAATAACTGAAACAAAATAGACAATAAGTAATGTGAATAACTAAATATAGCAGAAAAAGAAAAATTTTGATTTACAGTCTCACAAGAGAAGAATGAAAAATTTTTCATATGAATATGTTTGGAATACTGGATGTAGTTATCAAAACACATCAATTCTGTAAAAATCCACAAAAAATGACATTTAATAAACAGTAAACATTTTCAACCATCTTAAATGATCATCATCAACGTGATATGAAAATGAACCTGTGTATACCCATTCTATGTGATTACTCAATAGTCAATAGGCAACATCAATAGTGTGTGATAAGTCTCCATAGAGCAAAACTTAGTGCTCGTAAGTTTCATATTGTAATATAAAGACAAAAAACAAATTACCAAGTGATATGAGGAATTCAAATAATTATTCAAAATTAGGACAACTCTTTAAATATAAAATGATTGAATGTAAACTTACTCATAATACATTTAACTAAATGTAAGGTTTACATGAGAATATTGAGATATGGTGGCTTCTAATATTATGATTTAAATGTTTTATCTATCTGTGATGAAGGAGGGGTCACATCTAATGCTAGACTATTTCTAGCATTAGATGTGAGTGGTTAGGTCTTTATATACAGCCTTAGACCTCCAGGCTGCCTTATAGTACGGATCTCCCAATTTTTCAAGCTGTCTGAGGTTGGCAAACTCAACTCCCATGTTGATTTTAAGATAGCTTCATTTGGGTTGATGTGGACAACATTTTTATTTGAGAAGACTGCAAGGACTACTTTTCACTGCCCCTTGCAGCTTAGTGTGGCAATGAAAAAACAAATCATCCTATATACAATATAGCCAAAGCCCAAATTGTTAGCAAACTTAAACTTGAGCCATCAGATCACATTTTAGCTTATATTAAAGTTAATTTTAATTAATTAAATATTTTAAAGCCAAATTCAAATTTTTAATTAATTTGAAATTAGCTTTAGCATTATCTGAAAACTCCAGTTTGTTTGACTTTTGGATATGGTAGAAGATATTTAAACTACTATGTATACATCTATAAAATTTGAATAGTGATTTTTAATCACAGTGTAATGTGTCTCATTACATGTTTAAATTATAAATAAGTCTATTTAATATATTAATACAGACAGTTGCATTTGGAAAATAGTTTAACTGTATAAAAATGTTATGTGGATTCTTTGAATTCCTTTCATGGCACTTTCTTTGGCATATGCATGCCAGTCATATTGACAATATTTTTTCTCACTGTTTATGATGTAAATGTAAATTCTAACTGAAAAATTTCTCTGCATACTGCATCAGAAAATATTGTTTGGAAGCTTTCTTCATTTCAAATCAAATGAACAAATTAACAAACTACTAGTCTATATTTTGAATTGCACTGTTCTTTTAAGGGTGTATCTACATATTTGTTGTTTGCCAAATGCTGAGTGAATATTTGGCAAATACCAAGTAGTGTGGACAGTTCACTCATGAATATTTGGTATTCTCCATTTCCTGATTCTTATCAGTAAATTATGCCAAATCAAAGGAAATGAATATTTGCCTCTGTGCATTCGTGTTGTTCATCCACACATTGACCCTCTCATTTTTTTCTTATTTTCAGTCATCAGATTGCCATTTCATATTTCAGTCTTTTTTAAATTAGGTCTAGTCTTATGAATTTAGTTTATTTTTTTCTGGTTCCTTTTTTTCCTGTACAATTTTATTGTGTTGTTTTTTTTTTCAATTTATTCCTTTTTCACATTCATATTTTTATGCTTTAGTGAAGTGATACCATCCATCATCATCATTTTTATTAACAGATATGAACTACTTGTAACTATAAAAGTATTGACAAATTATTGTTTGAGAAGTGTCCATTTTCTAGATCTCAGGCAAACATTCATCATTCCCACAATGAATTGATGCATGGAAAATAATGACGTCTGTCTACATATTCATAACAAACACTTTGGTAGATAATTTAGTGAAAGACAAATATTTGGCATTTGGTAAATACTTAATGTGTAGATGCACCTTATCTGAAATCACCATGTTAATATAATAGATTAATGAATAGAATATCATAAAAAATTAAATTTTCCTTTATTTTAAAATATTTTGTTTTTAATTAAAATTTATTTTTTATTCAAGGCAGTATGCAATGAAAATAACCTGGAGCAAATCTTATCGGATGAACTCTATCCTCCGGACGAGTCGGAAATTTCTCGCATCCCGGCAGACGAGGCATCTAGGCAATACAGAAAACGGCAGGAAAGTCCAAAATTAGAAGACATTCTGTCAGTCAAAACAGATAATATTGTTAAATCCAATGATTTGAGCAAAGAACATAACTTAAAGACTCGTCACAGTCCAGTAGACAAATTGGTTCCCAAAACAGATACTTCAAAGAGTGAATATTTTAAAATAGATAAAAAGTGGCTTGAGAAACCTTCAGAAATGGCCAAGCGTAAAGAATTTATAAATGTGGATTCATATTTTGAAAGATGGGATAGAAAACACTGTTTTACTAAGGATACAAGGTATATGAGTGAAAATAGGACTCCTAATGAAAGAACTTACTTCTATAGAGGTACTACTCAAAGAGAATATGACAGTCATTTACCTAGATCTTATAATGATGATAGAATTAATGTATCAGGTAAGATATGACAAGTTTTTATACATGTCCTTTGGTTTACATTGGAGTAATCTTAAATCATCTCTTGTATTTACAAATATAAATATTGAAACCTGATAGTTATATATTAAAGCGAAACAATTGCCAAATTATATAAGGCTATATTACTATTACTATTATTAACTAAATGCTAAGTAATGTCCAGGTAACATAACTAACAATGCACAGTAATAGGAGGTTGCAGGTTTGAATCCCACTTTGGGCCGATTCTTTACTTCCAGAACTTCTTAAATTAATTATTAAAATATTAATTTAATTATAATTACTAAATTTTGCAGGAGATGGTGCCTAACACTTGCCTCTAGTGCTAAATTACTTAACATTTAATAATAATAGTAGTAATAGAGCTTGATATAATTCAGCAATCATTTGGCTTTAACATCTCTTGTATTAATGGAAACAATAAAAATTAACATTTTATTTAAGTTCATTACAATTAAATCTATTAGGAGTGGAATGAAAATGTGATATAGATTTTGAAAAACATGTTTCCTTAAGTTTAACAGTAGCTAATTGTCAGAAAGTTTGTTTATTAATTATGATTACAGAATCATAGTGTTGCATGATGCAAAGTTTTGTATACAGTTGTTAAAATTTAATAAAGATATGAATGTAATTCAAACTGCTACTCTCAGAGTAAAAACTTCTTAGAACATCCTAGTGCTTTTGGATTATACATCAGTCATTGGAAGTCAACAAGCAGTACAGAGTTCAAAAAAAGGTACCATATCACTATTAATGGAACCCTACACTAGGATGAATGTAAATAAATTAAACTGAATTATTCTCACAGATTTTTTATTTTTTTATCCCACGACACAAATAGGAATGTTAATAGAATATAATCAAATAGGAGAACAACAGAAACAATAGGAACATCTAAAAAGTTTTCTTTCCAAGAAAAGCAGTTTGAATTAGATTTGTTTGAAAAGCTTCTTGCTTCTTTAACAAATTTATGGTACTAATGTAAAGTAAATGTATTTAATTATGTTAAGAGCAATGCCACAAAAATTAGTAATTACAAGCCTTTCTTAAATAACAATAGCCATATACTGATGTATTCAAATGTCAGTGTGTAAAGCTAGAGCTAGTTTCAATTTGACAAATGAAAACATTAATGTAATAAATTCTGATATCAGTTGGTAAGAGATATGTAACAATGATACAGTGCATTTGTGTACATTACTGTTGTGATCATACCTAGAACATTTTTATCTTTAACTAGTATACATTTACAAATATCTGCCACCGATGTAAATGATCTTCAGTCTGCATAATAAATTAACAAAATCCAGAATTTTCTTGAATAGTAGTATACAGTCTGAAATCAGTTTATATCAAGCTGAATAGAAATAAGTGTTGTTAAAGATTAGGAACAGCATATCAATAGACAAAATTTGAACAAACAAATAAAAGGGCAAGGATGTATTTGGGACAAGACTGTCTCAGAGAGACACTACTAAGCAGGATCACTTCAATGTTCACGGCAGGTCTCAGTCTCATTCTCCATTTTTCTTTTGTATTGTTGGTTTTGAGTGTGATCATTCAAACTTTGCCTGCCTTGGCCATGACCACGAGGTTGTCCACGATACTTTTTGGTGAAATTAACCTATTCAATGTCAAAATGTCTCTCCATTGTGTTTTGCCCTGGGTTGAATTTTTGTCGATGGCTAATTAAACAAAATTCCCATTTTTGAAAAAAATAATCATGACTATTGTATCATCCAAAATTATTTTTTTATTTTGCACAAACAAAATAAATATATTAATAAATGTAAAAAGAAAATAATAATATTTTGAAAGTTAGTTTTAATATAAAATTATAACAACTAGTGCCATCTAGTTTCAAAAATATTCTGATGCTGAAATGAGATATCCCAGGTCAACTGGTCAAGGTTCAGCAGGTTGCAACCAGAGATATGTCGGGAATAACATGGGACAGATAAATGGATTTTTTCAAAGATTCATTTGTCAAAATTTGATTTTGCAATGTTTGCATTTCCAATTTCCCAACGAGCAATGCATGTGTGTGTGAATCTCTCACTAGTGCCTGTTTGTAGAAAATGTCACCAGTTTGTATTTTATTTTGACTCGGTTCTCAGTCCCCTGAGTACCTACAAGTGTGGGTTCTTTTTTATGCGCCCATGATTTGGGCACCTAATACTCTGTGCTAAATTGCAACTCCTGACATGTACTCCTTCATACCTCTAAGCTGGTAAGCTGGGATGGCACTGCAATTTTATAAACAAGAGATAGTCTTGTCAATAAAAAGCTTTAAAACTTAATAAATTAAATATGTCTTATTACCAGTACCTATGTAGAAGAAAAGATTTCATAATTATATGAATACTGTATTCATATTGAAATTGCATTGTGTTAATAACATATTTACTCAAAGCATTGAGAATTAGTCTTATGAAAATGTGTGAAGAGTCCCCTCTTGCTTCTGCACCACATGATTGAAGGATTAGCACCACGTCGACAATGCCCATGTCAGGACTGACACCACTGCATCTTTTAGGGAAGACACAGAAACTGTTATTGCTGTTAGTGCGTTGTTTTATGCGAGCAGTCGCATGTGTAGGTGGTTGGATTAGGGATAGAGGAGTTTAGAGACAGCATGATGAAAAAAATTGCACTTTACTACAGGTATAACAAAATTTATCTATTTATGTTTATTTATGCAAAGGGTAACATAACTACTTTAATGGAGTTGTAGAAAATTTATGTGGTTTTTACGTTGTGGTATGTTGTGGTTATGTTTATAATGATAACAATGAATTCATTGTTATCAATATAAACATGCTAAAGGGAAATGAAGCAAAAATACTTACATTCAAACTACAAAAACTTTCAAATATTCAAAATTTCAATAATTATCACTAACACATATTGTATTTGGAACTAACAAGTTTTCAGTGAGTCAAACACAGTTTTGGTTAAACTTCTTTATTAATACGAGGTGTGTCCGGAAAGTAAGTACCATTTCGTTTTACCGCCACCGCAGTGGTAGTATCGCATTTCAGCACCTGTGCACACGTGTCTCTGGTTGATTGTCAGTCCAGTGATGCCATTAGAGCCAGATTGTGATGTTTTTCCATGTGTTAGTGAGTGTTCAAAACGTTTAAGACGATTGCCAATCCCGCCGACTGTGAAGTACATTCTGTAATACGGTTTTTGAACGCAAAGAATGTTAAGTCAGTTGAAATTCATTGTCAACTTGTAGAGATTTATGGTGAAAATGTAATGAGTGATGGAATTGTGAGAAAGTGAGTTCAACAATTCAATGCTGGATGCACCAATGTTCATGACGAAGCACAGAGTGGCCAGCCTTCTGTTGTCAATGATGATTTGGTTGCAAAAATGAATGAGAAAATTCTTGAAAACAGACGGTTCACAATAAGATTGCTTTGTGATGAATTTCCACAAATTTCAAAAATTGTTTTGCATGAGATTGTCACAAATCAATGTTCAGCAGTGGCTGTCTTCACTGGCGGCATCTTTCTTTGAAGAGGGTATAGACAAGTTGGTTTCCCGATATGACAAATGTCTGAACAATGGTGGTACTATGTAGAAAAATAGTTTCCAACATGCTCTTTCATGTAAAAATAAATTTTGTTTTGAAAAAAGATTTTTTATGTGAGTTTTTCCAAAACGGTACTTACTTTCTGGACACGCCTCGTAGATAAATGACATTATATACTACAGTACCATCTATGTAATCCAGAATGTATGGGACAGGAACAATGTCTATTTAAGAAGATTACCAGATTATTGAAAGTATGATGTAATCATTTAGAAAGAAAACATTTATTTGACTATTAGTACAGTGGGTGATCGATTAACGAACATAATCTGTTCCAAGACATCGTTCACTATCTGAATTGTTCATTAACCGATTATCGATTTACCATAGGTTTTTATGGGAATTTGATTAATTTGTTCTGGAGACCCCAAAAAATAAAAAATATATACTTTTCTTACTACATTCATTTATATGTAATAATAAAAATACATACCATATTTACTTTCATATAAGATGAGGTTTTATTCATTTTTCATTGTTTCAATAACCTATTCAATTTTTGTAAACCGTGTATTTGCATTTTTTACCGAATTCTAACCTTCTAGTGTTTAAAAACAAAAGTATTTTATCTGGTCATTTGAAAGATTCTTGTATATTATCAGGAGTAAAGATGAATAGCAATAGGAAAAGCAAAGCTTTTGAATTGAATTCCAAAATTACACGAGAGCATGATATATAAGTTTTAATTCATTCCCATGTGAAAACAGATGATTGTTTGGAAATCAGAATTTGGAGAAATTCATAAGTGTAATCAATGAAGAGTGAATTTGACTGTTAAGAATTGGCAAAAAAGGTTCCCAATAATTGTCCAGCTTTACATGAACAAATTATGTTGTCGATTTTAAAAGATTTATACTTGAAGTTTAAAATGCCAGTAATTTTTGCACGACAATGTGTGCATTTACGTGCATTTGAAATTTTATTTGTGATTAAACGAAATAAAATTAGAACTGTATTAATAAATCTAATTTTCTTTATTTTGATCTTTAAAATCGCACCTCATCCTATATGCGAGATCATCTTATATCCGAGTAAATACGGTACACAAGCTTGCATTTTTATCAGTCATGTTTTTTCTGTTTGTGGTGGTTAAAGAATCTCTCTAATGTCGATTCCTTTTCTCTCTTCGGGATTTTTCAGAAGTAATTAATAGCATTGTAATTGTAGAGATCTCCAAGCCTATTAATCTCAACCTGGTTTGGATGCCATTCTAAGATCATTGTTCGGACATCCTCCCATTTCTTCAATAGGTCTTTAATAGCAGATGTCGGCATTAATCCTCTTTTTCAGAAAAAACATATCTTGCCAAGTTTCTTGGCATTCTTCTGTTGTCAGATCCGTTTCGGGTTCTATTATGAGCTCTTCGATGTTCTTT